ATCTCCAAAACTTTTCGTTTCACAAAACTAAACTTCTATACCTATTAAACAATTCCCCATTTCCTCCTTCCCTAGTCCCTGGCAAGCCCTGTTCTACTTTATGTTTCTGTGTATTGTATTATTATACTGGTTTTACAGAACGAGAAAACCAAGGTTCAGAGAGTCATCTGCTTCTAGGAGACAGAATCTGGACTTGAACTCGGGGCCCCATGCATACTCTGAGTCACTCTGCAGTACAGTGTCACCTCAGACAGCATCTGTGATGCGTTTACCTCCCCCATGACCATCGTGGCCAGTATGTGCCAGGGCCCTCCTCTGGGCCCTTGTGTTTTGCAGCCATTCTCACATGTAATCCTCATGGCAGCCTTGCAATTACTGAGGGGCAGTGTTCTATCTCCCAGCGCAGAGCTGATATAGGACAGATCAGGCCTGATGCCTGTCAATAGATTAAACAGTACTAAATAAGCCTGTGGCACATTTTTAATGCAATTGTTTACATTTTTTCAAAGTGTTGACACTCAGGAGAAAACCAGCTGAAATGCATGAGGTCAGAAAGAGCTTCCTAGTACCCCCCACTCCCCCGCAGAGTCAATCTGCTCTTCTCACCCCAGGCCACCCCCAACCCCATCTGCACCTTGTCACCAGCATCGCTGAGCCACAGCCAGAGCCAGAGGCAGGCGGGCGGGCGGGCAGAGGGACATCAGAGCCTGTGCTTGCTCTGCTTCCTCCTCTGCCACTCCACCCCCACGTCCTTCCCTCCAACCATACCCAATCCTGACCATTCTGAAACACGCTCTGTCCTTTCACGCCTCCGTGACTGTGCACATGCTGTTCTGGAAGACTGGAATGCTTTCCCTCCCCTCGTTCTCCACCTCCAAGACTCCTACAGTCTTTGCGAGCCAGCTCCAGTCGCTCCTCGGTGAAGACTCCTCCCCTACCCACCTCCCCAAGCTGTGAGTCCGCCCCTCTTTGGAGCAGACTAGTTCGCGTCGGAGTGCTCTCGCATCTGGGCTGCAGTGACCGTCTGTAACTCAATGTATCCCCCATGCTCCCAGCTCCTTGTGCTAAGATGAGGCTTCATCTCTGCTCCCAGCAGGGGTAAAGAGGATTTCGGATCACTGATTTTTGTTTTTTTCATGTTCCTGGTATATTTCAAAATGAAGAGATAACAAGATCACAAATATTGAGGCATCTTTTTCAATGTCTCGCAAATGAATGCTTCCAAATACAAAAAATTATAATTGTGCTGCTCACAGGATAATTATAGGATTAAGATATATTAATAAATATATATAATTTATTAAAGTGTAAAAATATACTTTTATATTATTTACATTTGTATAAATATATATTGTATTTATACATTATACTATATATACTAAAGACTTATTAAGATATAATAATTTATAGTGCTCAGTAGGCACAGCAGCCTGTTAATAAGAAACAAGCTTCAGGATATGCAAGGAGGCTCTTTGATCAAATTGGTCAGTGGATGTGACATAATGTAAAACCCCATTTGGAGACACTGTCAAAAGCCTAAATTGGAGACTGTAATGAAACTGTTCTCCTGGCCCCCTTCTCCAGTGGCAGGCTGCACACAGTAGGCGCTGATTGTATGCTGAAAAATGGGAACAAACGCAGCTTTCCAAGTTAGTTACCGAAAACCCACCCACAGTACGTATTCATGAAAAACAATGAAGTCCTGAACAATGGGGCAGGAAGCCACCTCCTTCTCCAGTGACCCCAACCCTCAGAGTCCAGCTGAAGGCTGCAACAGGAAACCCCTCACCCAGAGTCTTTCCTCCCCCTCCTCCCCACTGCCCACCCCCCCAGGGGCACCAAATGCACTCTTGCTTTCCATCCACTCTCAGCCCCCCTCCTTCTCAACCCTCAGAGGGTCCCAGGTGAAAAGAGAAAAGCACTTACTCATAGGAGGAGGCAAGCAGCCAAGCTGGGCTTGGAGAGTTGTCCTGCCCCGAGGCAGGCCTGAGGAATAAAAGGAACGGCGGGCGGGAGGACAAAGAAGGACTTAAAGCTCTGGAACACGGGGAAAGAAAAGGCCTAAGAAAGTTTACAAAGCAATCTGTCAGAGAAGGGATGAAAAGGGAGCCCCACTGAGCCGAGGGGCTCGGGCACTCACCTCACCTTCGGCCCAGTTAGAAACCTGCAAACTCTGAGCTGATCTCCCTTCCTTGTCCCAGAGCTTTCCCTGGGAGCGTGAGGCCTCACCTTGCTGAGTTTTTGGTAGCCCCAAATACTTCTGCTCTACTTGGCTCAATACGCCAGTTCTCTTGAACTCAACAAACTGACTCAACTGCCAGCTCCCTCTGGATTTTCAGCAGAAACACTCTGGATAATAAGGTCACCAGCAGATCTCCACAGCTATCCAGCCACTCTGACTTCTCAGATGTTCTGAGCCAGTGAAAATATCCACAGGCTTTCTGAAAGTCTCTCCTGCCACCAAAGGCAGGATTAATAGTAATAACGATCATCTGAGTGCTCTCTCTGTATGGAGTGCTTTAAATCATCTTACTGCTCACCACCACCTTAGGTATGGATTACCCAATTTCACCAGAAAGGGAAGCGGGCCTGGAGCGATTAAATGACTTTCCAAAGAGATACACAGCCTGGATTCCAACCTAGGTCTGTCTGACCTTGATGCCCACACACTTCCCCCACTCAGGACACCGCCTCTTGGGGATCCTCTATGATTCTATGTTTTTGTGTGTGTGGTTCCCATATTAATTTTAGATGGGGGAGGGATGGTACAATTCTGTGGTATCTAAAAAATTTCTTACCTGACAGTTGGCAGTGGGGAGTGGGGGAGTCTAACTCCTGGCTGGGTAGGGTCCTGAGTTCTTTCTAAACACTTGAGTAATTAACCATAAATAACTGGGCACTGGTAACAGGACACTCACTAATAAAAGTGTAGCCTAGAGTCACGTTTGATGAAAAAAATTCAAGTCACTTGGTGGGTGGACGTATCTGCAAAACAAAAGAAAAGCCCCTTTCCCAGCCCAGGCAGAGAAGTCTCCTGTACAGTTAGAGACAACAGGCTTCTGGGCACATGGCCAAGGTTCTGGGGATATTTATAACTTGAAGAGGGTGGGAGTCCCTAATAAGCTGCTATATTCTTTTTCCATCACTTCCCTCTCCAAGGCTACAGCGAGCTCGGAGCTCTCCTTCGCGCAGAATGCCTGCTCTCCCTAGTGCTCCCCTTCCATTGTCTCATTTTCTCATCCTGGCTGGGGAAAGGGAAGGCTGCAAGTCCTTCCGTTCGGAAGAGCTCCAGTTGAATGCAGCTTAGTTGCTGGTGGTATTTCTTGGCTAGTTGCTGTGGTCTCAGAGATCTGCCTAGGAGCCTGTGGTTTCTCTGAGCTGCCTGAGAGTCTGATGTTTCGAGAATTCTGTGAGTCTTTGGGAACCGCCTACCATCTCTGGGCTTTGCCTGCATGTCTACGGATTCGAGATCTACCTGCAGGTCTAAGATATCCAGGATCTGCCGGTGATCCCTAGAATCTTTCCAAACGTCCGCAGTCTCAAGAGAACTCTGCCTGAGGATTTGAAATCTGTTTTGAGGCCTCTTGGATCTTTTGAAGCCGAAGACCTAACGCATCTTTTGCGGGCCAGGAGGTGAGTCTGTTGGTTCTCAATTCGGGTTTTCGGCTTCCTGCCTTAAGTCAGTCAAGGGCTGGTAACATCCTGAGAGCCCGTTGGGCTTAGGCCGTTAGAGGCCCACGATCCCATCGACGCGGGAGGCCGCCAGAAACTCTTTTAGCAGGCAAGCCCTCGGGGATAATACGGACAGGCTTTCCGAACCCCCAGGCCCGGCTCGCGCCACCTTACGAGGCCTATAACCCACCCTTGCTTCTGACTTCGCTCCGGCTTTTGCTTCCCCTCCGCTAGGCGCAAATCAGCCGGCCGCTCAAGGGGAGCCTGTTTTAGAAGGACGCGGTCGGATATCCCTACAGGGTTAACAGCGATGGAGCCGGGACCCAGCGGGGCCCTGCCGCGGACCTCACTCTCCTGCGGACGGGCTGCGCGGTGCCTCTTGGGAGTTGTAGTCTGCGCAGCAGTGTGAGAATGCCGCGGTGGCTGCTGGGAGATGTAGTGCGTGGGTGGAGCTCAAAGTTCCAGCGCGGCCACCGAGTCTCCCCTGGGGAGTGGGTGGCTGCTGCTTTCCTCTCAAGTCCGGGTCGTCAGATGAGAGCTAATCCCAGAGGAACCCAACACAGGCCAGCACCTATATTAGGCTCAATGTCGCAGTTAAGCTTAACTTAAGCTCGATGTAAGATAAACTTCTAGGGGTGTGAGGAGAAGCAGGGCAACCTCTCTGGCTTAATCCGGCTGCTCTCTCCAAGAGAAGAAAGTGAAAGATACTCCGCCCTGGCTAGGAGGACGCGCTTTTTTTCTTCAACCTTTTGTTCTTTCCCTCCGTGGCTTTTGGCCTCTTGACTGGCCTTTGTACGACAGAATGGAACTCCAACTCCCGACAGGCCACGGGGTCGAACGCAGGCGCGCTAAAGGGGCTCTGCCGGGCTACGAGAGGCGGGCCTAATACTCGGCATCTAATTGGCAGAGTGCTTTGGGAGCTTCGCTCGCTGATTGGCCGAGGCAGCTGCCGGAAAGGGCCCAGCCTCGCCATGGAGGAGCAGAGGCGTTCTGTGGGCTGGGCTGAGAGCCTCCTCCCTGAGAGAGGATCGGCTTGACCCCCGGGTCCGGGAGGGACCGAGCCAGGGGGTTGTCTTATTAAATTCTGGCAGCCTCCACCCCTTGGTGGCGGAGACACAGAGGGCGGGTCGCGCTCGAGAGTCTGGGAGGAGAGTGACCCGGCCCGGGTTCAGGGCCCTCCCCACCCGCCTGGGCGGCCAGAACTCCAGCCCCGGGGAGTGGGCAGGGCCTGTTTCTGTGCCTCACGCCCTGCTTTTCGCCTCCTTTAGCGCTGTCTGCTAGCTGCTTTTCCTGCTGTCTCTCCTGGGAGGCGAATCCTTGAGCCCGAGATGGCAGCCACCCTGCTCATGGCTGGGTCCCAGGTAAGCCGGGGGTGGCTTCTTGGACCCTGCCTGTGCTTAACCACCTCGTCCCCGCGTTTCTTTGCTCTGCAAATCCCTATGGGAAATTCCCTCGGATTAGTAATGCGCTTGCTTTGCCATTCTGCCTCCAGAGACCTAGTATCAGCACAGTATAGCCACAAACACGCATTTATTGAACACCTGCTGTTTGCCTTTCAATACTAGGGAGACAAAGATGGATGGAACGTGCCCTCCCTGTCTGCTCACAATCTGTGGGAAGACAGATGCGTCCGGTTAGCCATGAAACTAGCATGATAAAAGCACTATTTTCTGTAGGAGCAAGGTGCTGTGGGAACCAAGAAGTGGGAGTATTCTCTCTGAGGTGTGGGAGGGAGGAGTGGAGCAGAGCGCGGAATGGGCGGCGGGGTTGGGGGGGGGGGGCACTGAGGAACAGCTGGTGCTGGAACAGGGTTTCAAAGAATATTAGGATTTCACTAGTCCGAGGAAGATACTCCAAGAAAAGAGGAACGTTGTAGGTAAAAGTATGGAATGATGTAGATGCTCGATGTGTTCTGAGAAGAGGACTGTTAAGAGGAGGGCAGGGGTATCCAGCCATGGGACCAAAGCAATCTGCTCATAAATTGCTCTCTCCTGAACCACATCTCTTTGTTGCTTACTTATTTCTCCTTTGGATTCTACATATCAGACCTAATGCCTTTTGCCTTCTCAACAATTCTAGCCATGTCTCTCGTTTCAAGAAGAAAAATTGGTACTAACTTCCTAGATACCAAGTATTGAGGAAGCAATGTGTGATTTCAGGCACCTGTGACATTTGAAGATATGGCCATGTACCTCACCCGGGAAGAATGGAGGCCTCTGGACCCTACACAAAGGGACATTTACAGGGATGTTATGCAGGAGAATTATGGAAATGTTGTCTCATTAGGTAAGAATTCTCTGTCTTTCTCCACCCCACGTTTTTTGAGACTATCAAAAATGCCTTAGCTCTTTCAACACAACCTAGTTACTTGATTTTTAAAGCACCTAATTGGATTTTGGCATGGGCTGAGTCCTCAGGCAGATCTTTGAGTGAGGGAATATCAAGGTCATATCGTCTAGGATGAAAGATTGTTTCTGCGCATTTTAGAAACACTCAGATTTCTTGTGCTCTGAATCATTTGCCATTCTCCAGCCTGTTTGTACAGATCACTGACCAAACAGGTCTGACATAATGGTACTTGCCAGGTTATAAATGCCCCTGTAAATGGTGCTTTTACTAGAAGATGAAGGGGTGCTGACCGAGGTTGACAGGAGGGCAAAAGCCACCTTTTTGTGTTTGTTTTGGCTTCAGAGCCCTAGCTTTGCCTCAGGTCCTTTATTTATCCAGAGTAGGTACTTGTCTAGAGATATTTCAGAGTTGATCATAGATTTTGAGTGTGTCAGATGCTGTTCCAGGAGAATCCTGAACTAAATGAGATCACAAATTCTATTAAAGAGGGAAGCTATTTTTTAATGGCCTGCAAACCTGTCTTTTCTGTGAGATACCCTTTTGTCTGGGTGCAACTAGAATAAACTATTCATGAGCTGAACAGTCTTTTGACTCACTTTGTCTCCTGTTAGGACTTGACAGAAGTTAGCAACCATGTATGGTTCACTAGGTTATCTGCCATTCATTAGGATTATTTCTTTTTCTGAAAGCTTTATCCCCATAGCTTTTAACAAATGGCAACTCTGAAGGGTTTCCTATTTAACCTGGACTCTCTCTCTGATGTCTCAACTTTCTTGGATCCTTCCTTTAGAAATGCAACTAGAAATGACGCTATCTACCCAGATCTGTTGTAGTCAGGAACCCAAGTATTCCACTTAATTCAACAAAAACAAGAAATGAGAATCTTAAAGAAATGTGAATTTATACGTCAGTGGTCCAGCCCAAGGAATGCTTGTTGGAAAGATGGAAACATGGAAGCACCAAAAAAAATTGTTTCTTGCCCAAATAAGTTTGGGAATGGGTTAAATAATGTTTAAAAGGCTTTTTTTTACCTTCAGACTCCTCAGAACCTATAATCTGGTATCAGGGCATTTTAAGTTTCTAGGAAGAGGATGTTGTATGCACCATTTACCAAACTAATTTATCCATGGACCTTTTCCCCCCAGAATACCTAGTAACCTCTTTATAAAAAGTGTACCAAGAGACACAACTTGGAAAAGCCGTGACTGGTAGAAAGTTTCCTATACACAGTGACTTTGTGTATTTTAATTTTCTTTTAAAGTCTTTACCTAGTCAGTGCCAAAAGCATTCTGAACTAGGCACCTTTTTTGCCTTCTCCAACTGTCTCACTTCTGTTTGCATTAAAAGGCCAGTGAGGAGGACATCCCTTGCAGTCCAGTGCTTAAGACTCTGCTCTTCCAATGCAGAGGGTATGGGTTCAATTCCAGTCGGGGAACTAAGATCCCAAAAGCTGCATGGTGAGGCAGAAAAAAAAAAGTACCAAAAAAAAAAAAGCCACTGAAAAGTAGCAAGTAACACTTGGCAGTCATTTTTCCTGTCAAGTGAGACTTGATAGAGATTGATAAAAATCTGTTTTTCTCCATGCTAACCCAGTAAGTCCATTTTTCCCCCCTAGTAGGTGCTTAGTGGATATTAAATAATGCTAATGATGAAGACTTGACAAGAACATACAATATACACACACATGCATTCACATACAAAATATCTAGGCTCTTTGCTTTTAGAAGTTCTAATTTAGAGTCTTATATTTTCTTTTATATATATATATTTATTTATTTGGCTGTGCTGGGTCTTAGTTGCGGCACATGGTTTTAGTTGCAGCATGTGGGATCTAGTTCCCTGACCAGGGATCGAACCCTGGCCCCCTGCACTAGGAGCTTGAAGTCTTAGCCACTGGACCACCAGGGAAGTTCCTAGAATCTTTTATATTTTCTATTTCTGGTTTTCTTCTTTTGAAACACCAGGAACGTATATAATTTGAATAAAGAACCATTAACTGTAGTGATTCAAAGCATTAACTTTTATCAGACACCTGGATTTGTATCTTAGCTTCACTATTTACTACTGTGTAACCTTTTGTGAACCATTTCTGTGGACCTTGGATTTCTCATTCATAAAGTGGAAATCATCATGATGTCTGGTGCTCAGGGTGGTTGAGATAATTCACATAAAGAACTTAGCACAGTGCCCATCACACAGTAGATCATTTTTGTGTGTGTTTACCAATAAAATTCTTTACCCTTGATTACAGATTTTGAAATCAGGAGTGAAAACGAGGTGAATCCAAAGCAAGAGATTAGTGAAGATGTAGAATTTGAGACTGCATCTGAAAGACCTGTTGGTAATACTGAGGAAAATCCTGAAAGTGAAGAGGCCTTTGACAACAGGGATAGATCAGAAAGACAATGGGGAGATTTAACGGCAGAAGAGTGGGTAAGCTATCCTCTCCAGCAAGTCACAGATCTGCTTGTCCACAAAGAAGTCCACACAAGCATCCGATATCATATATGTTCTCATTGTGGAAAGGCCTTTAGTCAGATCTCAGACCTTAATCGGCATCAGAAAACCCACACGGGTGACAGACCCTATAAGTGTTATGAATGTGGGAAGGGCTTCAGTCGGAGTTCCCACCTTATTCAACATCAAAGAACACACACTGGGGAGAGGCCCTATGACTGTAACGAATGTGGGAAAAGTTTTGGAAGAAGCTCTCACCTCATTCAGCATCAGACAATCCACACTGGAGAAAAGCCTCACAAATGTAATGAGTGTGGGAAGAGTTTCTGCCGGCTGTCTCACCTCATCCAGCACCAAAGGACCCACAGTGGGGAAAAACCCTACGAGTGTGAGGAGTGTGGGAAAAGCTTCAGCCGGAGCTCTCACCTAGCTCAGCACCAGAGGACCCACACCGGTGAGAAGCCTTATGAATGTAACGAATGCGGGCGAGGCTTCAGTGAGAGATCTGATCTCATCAAACACTATCGCGTCCACACAGGGGAGAGACCCTACAAGTGTGATGAGTGTGGGAAGAATTTCAGTCAGAACTCTGACCTTGTGCGCCATCGCAGAGCCCACACGGGGGAAAAGCCGTACCACTGTAATGAATGTGGGGAGAATTTCAGTCGCATCTCACACTTGGTTCAGCACCAGAGAACCCACACTGGGGAAAAGCCATATGAATGTAATGCCTGTGGGAAAAGCTTCAGCCGGAGCTCTCACCTCATCACACACCAGAAAATTCACACTGGAGAGAAGCCCTACGAGTGCAACGAGTGTTGGCGAAGCTTTGGTGAAAGGTCAGACCTAATTAAACACCAGAGAACCCACACAGGAGAGAAACCCTATGAGTGTGTGCAGTGTGGAAAAGGATTCACCCAGAGCTCTAACCTCATCACACATCAAAGAGTTCATACAGGAGAAAAGCCTTATGAATGTACAGAATGTGAGAAGAGTTTCAGCCGGAGCTCAGCTCTTATTAAACATAAAAGAGTGCACACTGACTAAGTCCTGTAATTATGAATGGGGAATGATTCATTTGAAGGTACAATTGTATTCTATATCAAAGAGCTCTGTCAAGACTGAAGCTTCTTTTACTGTGCTGAATTTTTTTCTTGTGGGTCACCATTTAAAACATCACAGAAGACAAGCCACTTGAAATTCTTGACCCATGGCTTTGGGAATATTATTCTCTCTTGCAAAATAGTGATTTGTATTCCCTCAGTACTAGCGAATTATTTCATCAAAGTCAGCCTCACAAATAATTGGAAATCTGAAGACCAGGTGATAAATGCTGGTAAATGCTCAGGCCTGGAAATGGAGTAAATCTTTCAAAGTAATTTCTCCCATCCTTGACCCAAAGAGCTATACTAGGAGAAATGTTAAACTGTGATATGGTGGTCACAGCTGCTTTGGAACAAAACAACCAGAGACTTTGCCTGAATTGCCACACCTATTCACTTACCATGGTAGCTGGGCACATACATCATCCCTTCAAAGGGCTTTCTCCCTGAGTTGCTCATGCATTTGTATCTATCTTCCTGAGAGCAGGATTCTGCACGGTGAAGGCAATGATCATCGATTTTCTCCTCATTGTTTCTAATTAACTTTTCTTAAAGCTTTCCTCTATGTGAAAGCTAACTGAAGATTCAGATTGAAAGGAAAAATGAGACACAGATTTGGGGACCAAGGACTCATCAACAGTGGTGATTTTAGCAAGAGATGCCCACTGTTATTGCCATTGATCAGAATTTATGAATTTTCTTTGGGGATCACTGTAGGGAATATTGTAGGGAAAATATCTTCAAGGAAAGCTAGGACCATAAGTGATGGTGGAGCGTAAGGAGCAAGTGGAACTGACTGGGGAAGGAAGCATAGAGTTTCTTCCCAAGGAATCAGGTTGTTTCTGTGTTCTTTCCCCTCTACCCTTTAAGATCAAATCTCCCTGTACTGCTAACTCTAGGATTTGATAAGGGCCACATCCCAGTGTTTATCTTAGCTTGCATAAGGGCATGTGTATGTACAGTGAAATGTGTATTCTTGTTGTTTTTCCAATAGCAGAAACTGAATTCACACTGAATTAGCATGCTCTTGGGTGATACTGATCATGTGACAGAAAAACCGACATAACTCCAACGTGAAAAATGTCCTTTTGTTCACTTTATGAAAAAAATTTAAACACTAGTGCTCTTGTGTGCACTCTCCTGAAAGATCTGTACAGAACCAAGCACTTGTTTATATGTATTAGTCTGTTGGAGATAATTACCAAATAGGTTGATTGTCCTAGTCTCAGACTGAATGATCTTCTCTTTGCCCTAGTCACAAGGAATTAATAAACCTAGATAGGAATCTATTTCCATTCTCTCAGCTTACAAATTTAACCTGTTTATGTCAGTGTTGACCCAATTTAAGCCCAGTAATGTCAATTCTCCTTATCTCAGTTCAACTAGGAATTAAGAACTATCCCAAATGTTGATGCATATCCAAGCATTTGGGGTGGGAGTGGGAGGGAATCAATGTCCAGGAATGGGGCTAGAGTAAGGAATCTGTTTTTTCTTGAGTCTGCCCCAAATACTGTGCTTTATTGTGAGTGTTGTAACATTTGAAAAACTTTTGCCATAACTCTTTGGGACTTGGTGTTAAAAGAGCCAGTGGTCTTTCTCGGGTAGTGTACTATAGTGATTTCCTGTGACCCACCGCCCTGTGGGTCTGCACCCCTTGCAGTAACACAGCCTCAGAAGTAACAGTGAAGTACTCCACCAAGTAGACGTCTTTGTGTTGCCACTCCTGTTTACGCACAGATTTGGGCAGGGAGCGTGTTCTGTTCTATACGAAATCTAGCTGTGGGTATCCCTCTGTTAATTGTTGAATGACCTACATGTTCCTGATGACTAAAGTCAAACGTGTCTTTTTCCCATATCAGTGTTGCTGATGGTTTTAATGAATACCAAAATTCTCCTGTTGTTTCTGTGAGCTGCTAGGGGCATTAGCTTCGGAATGGCCAGAGAAGACATCATCTCCATGACCTAACTTTTCCTTCCCTATTCTGCCTTACCCCCAACCTGTTCCTTTTGCTGCTTTTGGCTTCTAAGTGCCCCAGCCTTCTCAGCAGACATGCACACTCCATTTGGGAAGTTAAAAGGGCAGATGGCCAGACCAGCTCTATCTCCTCTCTTCCTGCCAGTTGTTGCCCATTTGCTGCGTTGAACTCTGTGTAAAGTTACCGATCAGTCTCTCTTTGCTAAAGCTTTCTGCATGCCTTCTGCTCCCAAGTCTCTGGCTGCTTCTGCACATACCCTGAACACATTGTGCCTGTTTTCTACGGTTGTGGAGAGTGAGTGAAAAAGTTAAGTATGTAGAGCAGTTTTCCTTCTGGTATTGGTCACAGTTATACTAGTGTCTATCTACATCTGTATTATTCTAACAATATTCTGTAATTAAAAGTAAAATTTTTAAAATCAAAAAGCGGAGAATTATTTTAGTAATTCAGCACCAATTCACAAAACAACTTTTCATCAGATTCATTAAAATTGGGCACGATTGGTTTTTTATATTGATGCCTTTGTACAGATGTTCTTGTGGGAACCTGGGAAGTGTCTTCACATATTGGTCAGCCTTGTGGATATTGCCATATTTTGGGGAGATGCAAAAACCTGGGCATTTCCTATGAAGATTAGGCTGATGGCAAAGCAACATGGAAATATTTGGTATGGGTAACTCATTAACTTTGGGGAAGGAAAACAAAAGCAAAAAAAAAAAAAAAAAACCCAAAAGGAAAAAATGAGGGGAGGCCATATTGCTTGAAGGAGATATTTTTGGATATCTGTTAATACTAAAACAGTTTCTACTAAATTAGTATTAGGATCCCAGAACAGAGATATGTCTTAAAAATAGTCAAAGGCTCTCAATTCATGACAAAATTTCAGTCTGCCTAAGGCAGTGATTATTTTCTAGTAGGTTGTGGCCACAATCTTCAAATTTCTTACAAGTAATTTTATCTTAGGAAGCCTTTTTTTTTTTTTAAATGGAAGACCAATTTAGACAGAGGTAGGGAGTAGAAATGCTTTAAACTGGGGGAAAATACAAATATGAAAGAAAAATTTTAATTTACCCAATAACCAAGACTTGAGAGAGATTTTGTAAGTTATCAGACTTTTGGAGGGGAGTGGTGAGGGACTGTGCCACATGGCTTCTGGGCTCTTACTTCCCCAACCAAAGATGACACCTGAGCCCTTAGCAGTGAAAGCTCAGAATCGAACCACTGGATCTCCAGGCAGTTGGCATAAACGTTTCTTAAAACTTTTTTTCTCCTTCCTACACATTCAGCATTTTTTATTTCTGGAAAGGAAAGTTCAAGGAAAATGCTGGAGAAATTGACCTGGCACCTCTCCTTCAGGGTATTTAATATGTTAATATTTCACCATTATTCTAATAGAGGCAGATTTCCTTCTCTGAATTTTCTCTAGGTGGCTAGCCCTTGGTTAGGGTTGTGCTTCTAGGCCATTAGGACTCCACTGAGTCCATTGAAATGATAATTTGTTAAATGGTTCCATAGTGTTTCAAAGGTTAGTGTTCCTGCTGAAAAAGGAGTTCTGTGCCTCAGGAGAAACTTACTCTTTGAAGCATTGGTTAGATACCCGTATCTGCACAGTAGAGGAGCTGCCGACTGGGACAGCCTTATCTCTAGGAGACTTCAAGATAAAAAGGCTGTTAGTGAAAAACAACTGAGGAGTAACATGGATTGAAGAAAATTACCCTGTAATGAACTAAAATGGTTTCATGGTGAATCTCATTGTGTTTATCTGTTTTCCTAAATGGTTCGTACACAAAGTTTGTTTCATTTTTACCTTCTTCAAAGGTGCTTTTTTTTTTTTCTTCCCCAAAGGTGCTTTTGTTTTTCCCTTTGGGAGAGACTGAGGCTGATGATATCAAAATCTCACTTTGAATTTCATAGCATCCCCTATGGCTGCCTTCTAGACATCACTCAGAAATTACCCAGGCAGACCTGAAACTGAATCTACCACTTTGTTCTATCACCACCATCACCCTTCACCTGCTTCTTCTGTACTTCCAAACTCAGTCAAGGTCTAGTCATCCATGCTAGAAACTTGTATTTCAGTATTTGAAAACTGCTCCTTAAGCCACCCTTCCAAAAGCAAGCATGAAAATCAGTTGCATAATTAGTCTTCCAGTCATTACCTTGCTACCTCCTAAATATTTCTCAAATTTGTCTACCTGCTTTCTGTATTGCCCCCACTTATCATGTAACCTTGGGCAAGTTACTTAGCTTCTCTGTTCCTTGGATTTCCCATCTGTAAAGTGGTGGGTAATTATACCTACCTCACAGAATTGCAAAGATTAAATGAAATAATAGAGCTCAAAATATTAGTTGCAATTATTTAGACCATCCCCAAGCCACATCCTGCTTACTGAAACAACCTCCTAATGAGTCTCCTCTATTTTCAACCCCCTTTCAACTATTCTCCCTAGCTGCAGCTGGAATGGTCTTTCTGAAGGGCAAACCCATTCTTGCCACTCTTGTGCAAAACTTCCTCACGTTCTCCATTGCCAGTGGCACAGTGTGTGACGCGTGAGGAAGTGAACAAGATCCGGCCTCTGCTGAGCTTCGGTTCTCTGCACTCCCCTGCGCTTGCAGCACTCTCCAAGCTGCATCTCTTTCTCTCCACTCTTCTGGTCAGCTTCTCCTATCCTTCAGGTTTCCATGCTTAGCTTGTTCCAGGGATCCTTCCCTGATCCCACAAGACAGGATCAGGTGTTCCTGTTGTGTTCCCTGGGTTTATCCCAGTCAAAGCACTTTATTCCTGTTTTGTAAATGCCTGTTTACTTCTTTGTCTCCTCCACTAGATTTTTATATCCTCCAAGAAATCACTGTGTCTTGCTCACCATTGTATCTTCAGTCCCTAGCAAATGTTTGACTTAGAATAGGGAGGCAACAAATATGTCTTGGATAAATGAAAGGAGTTGATGTATCAATTTCATTCCATTTA